GCTCGCCGTTCCGCTGCTGCGCTCCCGCCCGCGCCGCCCCCGAGCAGCCACACAAAGGCAGCCGCAGCTGGACGGCCGGGGACTGCTCTGACCCCAGGGGTTAGGCGCGGCGTTTCGGTTGGTCTTCTCCATACTCATGAACATACAAAGGTCAACCCCTATCACGATAGCACGATATGGGAGACCTCGGAATAAAACCCAGGATTTTGAAGAGCTCTCGTCCATACGGTCCATCGAGCCAAGCCAGAGTTTTAGCCCGAATCTAGGCTCTCCGAGCCCGCCGGAGACTCCGAACTTGTCGCATTGCGTTTCTTGCATCGGGAAATACTTATTGTTGGAGCCTCTCGAGGGAGACCACGTTTTCCGAGCCGTACATCTGCACAGTGCCGAGGAGCTGGTTTGCAAGGTAAAACGTCTCCTCGTTGTTATTATCTCGTATTAGCGTGCTGTAGCCTATTGATTTCCCGTGTCTTACAGGAGGGCTGAGTACGACCGTGTAGTTCAATTATTAAACAGTTTTAAAACAAAAGGCAGCGAGAAGGAAATTAAAGGCGCATCCTGTAACTTTTCCCTCTCTCCAGACAATGGCCACGTTATAAGGGTGGCCTGGAGCCAGTTCTGCCTCTCACCCAAGGGATATTGTTCTGGAAAGAACCGTCCTTTAACTGGGTCTTTAACGTGAGTTTAGATCATGAGGGAACCTCATCTTCCCCACTCTCACTTTTCAAAATGGAGTAGGGAATCCCCTGCTAATTTTAAGGTGTTGGGACCCGCTGGCTTCCTTTATTTTCCTGCCCCTTGTTCTTTGTGAGTTGGGGGAGCTGATGGAGAAGGGGGAGGCTGCAGTCAGCTTTGTCTTAAAAGTGATTTAAAAAATCCACAAAGAATTAATCAGCCTGAGCGCTCTCACCGTGGAGGTTGTTTGCAAACAGCATCCTCCCCCATTGCACAATTGAGCAAGACTAAAACCTGCACACCTACGTTTTTTAGAAGAGCAGACAAAATAGCTATCCCACTCTCTGTAGCCTGCCTGCTTTTCAGGGCCTCCTCGTTTGCTCCTACTATTCAAAGGTGAGCTGTGGGAAGAAGAAACCCACATGTGTGCCCCCCTGTCGAGGAATATTTTTCTCTTTTTGGGCTGGGGGAGTATTCTCCTTTGTTCCTAATTCGCAGTTCTCATTGTCTGTAGTGGGCTAGACTTACGCCCAGCAAACTGAAGCAGTGCCCAGTAGTAGTTTTTATAACGACGTAGCAGATCGCAACCTTGCAACACACGCTTCAGTGTTTGTATTGTTCTCAAAATATGGCATTGTGCCATTTAGCTATCTTGGATAAATTTCTGGTGTTGAACTTACTGTCTGCAAACTGAAAAGCTGACATGTTATAATATTCACATTCCAGGGGTTAATGATAGTACTGCTGACTATTTCATATTTCTGTACTTAATTCATAAGAAGTTATGGACTAGCATGTAGCTGGGGAAGTGAAAATAATTCTTCCCATTTGCTATTTATAAAGATCTGAGTTCAGAGGGCGATTTAAATATACTCTCTGATTGAGTTATAAAAGCTGATGTTAAGGCAGCCTAGGACTTTGTGTGATTATTTAGGGGGAAAAAAAAAAGAGCTCCTGACTTTGCAAAGGACTGATATTGCATGCTGAAGTGAATGCTTTGTTACTAAACTGAAACAGAACATGAGAATTTCTAGAATGAAAGCCCCGCTCAATTGCGGTAGTACAGTGCTGCACTCTAGGACATTGGCATCTTTTCATGAAACAAACAGATCCCACAAAGCTACTGCTCTGCATGAAATTGTAGGTAAACTTGCATAGCAAGTAGAAACTTGGGGGCTATGCTCTTTGTTTCCCCTTTGATTTGCAGGTTTAGGGTACTGTTTTGATAACAGTATGAGCAGCATAAGTGCAGCGCACAAAGAGTGGACTTCTATTTTTTTTTTCCTTCCCTTTAAGCTGTATGTTTTTAAACTGATCCTGATGTTTGAATTATATCAGTTTTTCCATATGCATGAGGCACTGCTTCTAGCTGGGCTTCAAAAATACAATCTTAGCTTGAATTGCTGGTTTCTGAACATGCAGTTGTCAGTCCTAAACTCATCTTAATTTAATGCATGCTTTAAAATGCCTGCAGTATCATGACTACTATTTGTCAAGTAGCCTTCCGGCTAAGAGACCTGCTATCTGGTATCTTATTGAAGATGCTCTTAGAGATTGCTTGCACAAACATTGGTTTGGATAACAGACACATGCTGATGATTCTCAAGATTCATTTGGCTGCACCCACTGCCTGTACAGATGCTGTTATTTGCTTCAAGGCTCTGTGGCATCCAAACAATGGTAACATCTCACTTCCAATTCCTAGCAAGAACTAAATCAAACTGCAGCTTATTGGACATTTGCTGAATTGAGGCCAGGGACCTTAAACGCTGGGGCACAAAGAAAGCCTTTATAAATGGTGTTTGAAACTGTAGCAATATGATAGTACTTCCCATCTCCCCCCTTTTAAACCTAGTTCCTGATACATATCAGACCTACTTGCTTAACAGTCTGAAAAGCACAGAATGTAACTAATTTATATCAGCATAATCTAGTTAAAATTCTGGAAAGGCTTTTTTCGGATAAGGGTTTGAGCTACGGGAATGTTCCTTCTGAAGATTTATTTTATAGCAGCCACTCTGTCGAAGAGCCATTCACTTACAATGTAGTAGTTATGAGTTTTGAGATCCAAATGTCAATGAATTTTCCTCTGGAATGAATTACACGCTAGGGATTGCAGCAACACCCCCTCCCCACCCCAGCTCTGCTTCTGTGGTTCACCATGTCACCAGAAGGCCTCAGTGCTAATCTACCCCTTGCAAAATGTGTTGGATCTATTTGGCAGTGTGCCTCTAAGGTTGTTTTTGCCTGTGCTGGAGTACAGCAGCACAGGTAGGGGGTAGGGAGGAAAGAGGGGTGAAAGGGACGGGGCAGGGGGAGGGGGGGGAAATGGATGCCACAATCTGTTGGATTTTGGATCCTTTTCTGGGAAAGGAGTTTGTTAGGATTGTGTTCTGAAGCACAAAATGACTCAGGTTTTGGAGCGTCAGGTAAATTTTCATTGAACTGTATCATGCACTTTCAGTTTTGAAAGCTTTTTAAAGCTTCAGAAAAAGCAAGGGAGGTTGCTTCTTGGAGATGATACAAATATCCAGTACTAGAGTGCAAGTACTAGTATACAAAAGATTAAAAGAAAATGCAGTTTAAGCCATCTGATTTAAGATCTATACCAGTTCTTCATTTTTATGTTAATTGTTTACTAGAATGAGGCATGGCTACCTTAAATTCCTTTTACTAAAGCAGCAATACACCCAAGAGTATGTTACATATTAATAGAATTTTGATGCTAGTGGAAATGCTAATCTCTTGCTTTGTAGTATGTCTGGAGCAGGTATAATTAAAGTAAAAATCACTCCTATCAATACTTTGCTTATATTCTCTTTCAGCACACTGACTTCTGTTATTCTCAATGAAGTCTTTCTTCCTCGAATGTGGGCATTTCTCAATTGACTCAAATACTGATTCATTCGTCATCAGAAGATTATAGTAACTTTTTATATTTGGGTTTCCCAGCAGTCTTTTTAATTCTTACAGCTCATTCATAAGATCAGTGATAACATACTTACTATTAAAGGGACACTTGGCTTTTAATGGAGCACTTGATTGAAACGCAGAGAGTTCGGAGTGGTTTTGTTTTTGCCTTTTGAAGGATGTTAGCCAGTGCTCCAGCAGGCAGGGATATTTCCCCAGTTGTCCTTCTGATCTCATAAATAGCCATTGTAAACCGAGACTTTGAAAGTGAAACCAACTTTACTGTTTGTCAAAGATGAGAGAAATGCAGGAAGTAAATATGAATGGTGACAAAGTACATTTTAAACCTGAAAGTACTTAAAGTTTTAATGAGTTAATAACAGAGAGAGAGAGATTTGTGGGTCAGAGCACATTTAATTTGACAGATTCTCTCAACAGAAAGCTACTGGCCGTATTCTCTGTGAGTTTATTTGGATTTCCTTAAAATAGATGAGAAACAAGTTTCCTTCTGAGGGCCAGTATCCGCTTCTGTGCGTCACTGGCCTTTTGATCTTAATTCGGGTTACATTCTACATTTGATCAGCTATTAGCTACTGAAAATACAAGTTAGTAAAGTATTAGCTACAAGTCTTGAAGACTAGCCTTCCCTGCTTCAGTTATGCGTATCTTGCGTTGGGTTGTAGAGTCTGTTTTGTCTTGTCTTTAGTGCCTGAACTTTTGACATCCTGTTTGCTTCAGCACAGCTTCAGAAACAGCATAAAGCATGCTTAGAAATGGTTAAGTTAACAAAATTAGGTGTATCACATCTTGGATGTCCCTCATGTTGCTAACCTTGGCTTTACTGTCACTCTTCCTGCAGGTGTTTGATATTGGCTGCTACCAGGAGTTATTAGCACCATGTTTTTGTCTGCCTGCGCATAAAAATATCAACCAAATTACTGAAATAATTCTTGGGGAGACAAAAGCATATGTGTTCTTTGAAAGGAGCTATGGGGACATGCATTCGTTTGTTCGTACCTGCAAGAAGCTCAAAGAGGAGGAGGCAGCCAAACTCTTCTATCAAATAGCTTCTGCTGTTGCACACTGCCATGATGGTGGACTGGTACTGCGAGATCTCAAGCTGCGAAAGTTTATTTTCAAGGATGAAGAAAGGTAAGAGTCTCCCTTACTTTACAGGTGGGGATGTCAGATTCAGGTTTACAGCCTGCTGTGTTCCTCCCTGTCACCATACTGCTCCCTGCGAGTTTGTGGTACACAGGGCGTTTCACTTTCCTTGTCCTCCTCTGCACCTGGATCATGGGGTGGATGTGCTGTTTTATCTTCTGGCTTAGGCTTTGGAGTAACGTAAGTATAGAGCACAGTTTGTATCTGTGCCTGGGCTCTGCATCTTCGTGCAAAGGAGCCTAATGAGGGTTCCTGATGAGGCGGTGTCTCCTGGAGGAGAGACCGCCTCTGCATAGGTTTCTGGTGCAAGAGGTCTGTTAACATAAATACAGCTGATGTTTAAAGGCAGGAGCTGGAAGGGTCTGAGGTCTGAAGGTTGCTTCTGGGTTCAGTGGCCAGTAATCACAGTAAGGCTAGAAACTGCACTGCTAGGTGGGTAGCCTGTTTTTAGTATCAGCGAGCTGTTGTGCTTGGGGAAATACCCTTATTTTTTTCCCCTTTCCTCCCCAGACATGCACCTCTTTCAGTCATTGGCAGCAAACGATTTGGGGGGGACAGGGAAAGGAGTAAGTCTGGATGCTCTTTGTGAACTGTTGAGGTGCTGTTCCTGATGCTGAGCCATAACTAAACTGCTGAAGCAATGGAAACTTTGCATCTCTTTCCTTGTGGTTACCGGTTGTCATTTATTATATTACACCATACATTCACTTGCAACTTCCATGTACAGCACCAGAGTAATGAACACTGCCAGAGTGATGTCAGGCTTCCACAGAGGGATTAAATGGGAAGATGACCTTCAGAAAAACAACTGAAACGGGGCACAGCCTGCCTTTTTGCTTCTTCGTGGCTTGGTAGAGGATGGGGAGCTATTTTTTTCCCCTTTTAGTTCAAGCCTATAAATTGTCTGAAAGGTCGTTTAAACTGCTGCAGGGTGAAATTGATGTTCTGGAGAGCTTCCTTTAAAAATAAGCAATGCATTTTAATTCATTTTTGAGGCTGCTTGGGGAAGCTATAAGCAACAGCAGAGACGCATCAGTTGTCTAGAGGCTCAGTAGGTCCATGAGAGTACAAGAATTGTATTTGTATCCCTGAGCATGCGAAAAACCAGTACACAATTTGGTCATTAAAGGGACATTTCTGACCTTAAAATAAAAATGACAACCATCTGTCTAGTTTGAAATGTTGTCTATTTAAATTTTGTTCAAAGTTCAGTTTTGCAAAATGAACTTCTCCTTTCAATCTCCTTTCAAACTGTAAAATAAAAGACGATCTTTTCACTTCTTACTTCAGTTCAGACAATTCTCTGCAAGGCGAATAGCTATTCCCTATTTTTCTACCACAGTCCCAAATATATGACTGTCCTTTCCTCTTCTTCAAATGAAAAAGCCCAAACTGAAACTAACTGAATGTCCATTCAGAGAGAAATGAAAAACAGAAATACGTAAGCTGAACTTTCACAACTTTTACTCTGAGTTTAATAACCAAACACCATTATAGCACCTTTGGTGTGGATGACGAGGAAACTTGTACAAAATAGTTGAGGGAAAGATTGCTTTCTATTGTAGCTGATAAATGTCCTAATTGCTACACGTCAAAACCCATTTCTCATGGAATAGATGTAAACTTTGGTGGTCTTATTTGAAGGGCACGACTTGAAAAAACACTAGGGATCTTTCTGCTCTAAGTCGGTGGGAGTTAAGAGCACTGTCATGAGAAGAGATGTAGGCCCGCACTGGATACTTTTGAACTCCCACCCAGTTGCATACTAAGAGCTGAGTGCATCACGAGGCCAAAAGCGTTTAGCCACCCAAGAAGAGTAGTAGGTACCATAATAGCACTGTTTACTTTTATGAATGTTTTTAATATTAACTGTAGTCTGCAAAATCACACAGTTACTCACTTTTGAACAGTGCTTCTAATTATAAAGTGCTGCACCTTAAAGGTCAGATATGATTTGCTGGTTATTTTTAAGATAGTCATAATGCGGTTTTCTTCTGGAACTAATGTTGATCTGTAAGGAGGAAGGTATTGTAATTTCTCTGATAAGTAAATGGCAATGCACTTGAGGTGAACCAGCACAAGATGGAAGTGGAAGAACCAAGCAGCGACTGTCTCTCTTTGCATGCTCTGCTCATCAGACTGTAATCAGTCATCACTTTCAATCTGCTGCTGCGTTTATGCTGCAAACCCTCTCTGGTTCCTCTGGGTTCATGGAGGTGTTTGTATGTTGCTCTGAGCTCCCGCCGCTCACCGGGCTGCTAGTGCTGAGCAAGCTGCGCTTCCGAAACCGGCAGTCTGTGGGAGCACCTGTGATCTGGATCTTGCAAGCTGTATTGCTCTTTGATACCTGTAATGAGCCAAGGAGGAAGAAAAGAGGTGAAAATGGTGTTTTGAGAAATGTATGTGAACTCCACTGCTGTTTGCCTCCTGTTCTTCAGTGGAGCTCTTTTCCAGGAGTTCTTTTCATAACTTCCTTCAATTCTGGGGTATTTTTGCAGTTCACCTTTACTACACATTGCTTTGAAACTTTCTCTTTTTGATGACTACCCGAGTTTTATCTTGCTAGCAGAAAAGACTGGAAATCTATCATGTGGGTAACACACAATGGAAAACTTTTTTTTTTTTTCTTTTTATTTGTCAGTTCTTAGTTGAGAGCTGCAAGACGGACTGCAGGAGCCAGAGAACATGTAAAAGAGATATGAAAGCAGCATTTTTTTTTTTTTTTAAATCAAAGTATATCTTAGTTCATATTCCTTCCTTTGACCCTAGTGATATCTTGGTAGGCTGTTATTGAGTCATGGCTCCTGGAATTTTAGACGTGTACATACACTATGGAAGCTCTTTTTTACCTTGTTATTGTTACTAAACTACAGCTGGAATTTATAAAGATTCAAGATCTTGATCTAACAGTTTCGTGAGTGCTCTTTGCTTCTACTAATGTCACTGCTAAGAATGCATGTGATTTTGAATGTTGCAAATGGCAGTGCCTTCATTCCAGTGCCTTCATCTGTAATGAACCAGGAAGTAAGAAGATGATTTAAAAAAAAAAAAAATTGGAGGCTGGTGGTGCTGAGCGCTTCATAGGGGTCTTCATTTTACTAATGTCATTCTCTTAATCTGCTAAATCAAAGCTATACTGTGGTGGTGTGTTACGTCTTACTATTGCACATATGCAAACATATCAGTGCTTAAAATGAAATCAGCTCCTAATCCAAAATTCCTCAGTGTGGAAACAAAACAAAATAATCCATCTGTGCTTTAAGGTACTTTAGCTTCTTTTAATCCAGAACTGCAGAAATTTTGGAGATAATGTAAATTGCATTCCATGAAATGTGTGCAGTTGCCAAACACCTTAGGTTTCTAATAATTTTCCTTTCCTTTTGTTTTACCTAGTGTTGGATAGTTGTATTTTCGAGGGGTTTTGTTGGTGGTTTTTTTCCATTCTTAAACCACAGGTGAAATAGCTAGTGCTTTAGTAGTGAAATTTCAAAGTTAAGCTTCTTAAACCTGCACCTGATCCTGATGCAGCACAACTTCTAAGATGTTAAAGCATAGCAGGAAACGTCTTGTGAGACTGGGTTGGCAAGCAGCACCGCCAGTAAATGAGAGCAGTGACTCTCGGACTACTAAGAATATGGAAAACAACACTTAATTGCCATGTTGGGGCTCACTAGACTTTTTAAGGGACCTATAAGATTCTTGCATACTTAAAAGATGGATCCTTGAACTTCTAAATAAAATGGAATCCAAAACACTGGAGATAGCTAGGATAAAACACGAGCTTTTGCATGTTTTCTGTATCATTGCACATCACTTTTTTTTTTTTGGCCTAGATATTAAGCCAGGTCAATATTGCTGTTCATGTTTGTGGGGCTCTTGGTTTTGATTATTTTTACTGTGTTCATGTCATATGGTATTTACAGTTTTCCTTGTACAATATGTCCTCATAACAGGCCCTTGGGCAGAGCAACTGTGCCCTTCGCCTAGCTGGTGTCCCATAACGATGTTGCAGAATGGGCAGGGCTTTTGGGGTTGTGCTAAAAATAGCACTACACAGTGTTACTAATAAAGCAATTCATCAGTCTGATATACAGCAGATGCTTTGAGAAAGAGCCACCTCCAAGATCTCAGAACTAAATCAAGCATTTCTGTGTTGCTTATTCCAATGGCTTTTCTTAATACAAGAACATTTCTGCTGTCAGGGAATTATTAATTTATTTAGTGCATTTTTAAGCCTTTAATTATATTAAAATATTGGCTGTCATAGTATATGAAGCTTAAAGACCTTGTACATTCTTCATACTTGTTGAGGGGAAAATTAAAATAATTTTGATACCTTAGATATTGTAATTCCCCCTTATTCTTTGAGTAAATATGAGAAATAGTAGGCAAGTGGGAGTCAATAACAATAATTTGACACTTTTTGCTCTGCACCAGGGGAATGCAGCTAGTGCAATGCACTAATTTAGAAAGCCTGTGTTAGCATGACATATTTATTTGATGCTCTTCAAATTTTTTCCTTTCTTTTTTTTCCTCTAGAATTTCTCATCTTTGAGTGGATGATGCTTTAAAGTGACCTAGTTCTGTTGTTTGCAATCCTGATAATACAAACCTGATCCCACAAAAAACACAGCACGTATATACCAACCTCATTCCGAGTAGACATTTTCTCTTCTAGTTAGTAGCAGGTTTTCTCCCCTATGTATTTGTCAAATTGTATAACAGTCAGCTGACTTTTCCCATGGTGTTAGAGCTTGCTATTTTACTTAAAATTCAATAGAGAACAGATAAGTTAATGCTTTCCCTGTTGCCCAAATCCTAGAAAGAGTCCTAAAAGTGAAAGGAAGTTAAATAAGACAGGACCGCTCTTAAAATACCAAAAGATGAACAAACAAAGCCAGTCATCTGATCTGTCATTCCCTGTGACCCTGAATGGAAAGGAAAGATGCCACAGCATCTAATAGCATAACTTTAATAGTGGACAGTCT